TAAACACTGATGTCTAATAGACGCCTAAACACTGATGTCTAATAGACGCCTAAACACTGATGTCTAATAGACGCCTAAACACTGATGTCTAATAGACGCCTAAACACACTGATGTCTAATAGACGCCTAAACACTGATGTCTAATAGACGCCTAAACACCTATGTCTAATAGACGCCTAAACACTGATGTCTAATTGACGCCTAAACACTGATGTCTAATAGACGCCTAAACACTGATGTCTAATAGACGCCTAAACACTGATGTCTAATAGACGCCTAAACACTGATGTCTAATAGACGCCTAAACACTGATGTCTAATTGATGCCTAAACACTGATGTCTAATAGACGCCTAAACACTGATGTCTAATAGAAGCCTAAACACTGATGTCTAATAGACGCCTAAACACTGATGTCTAATAGACGCCTAAACACTGATGTCTAATAGACGCCTAAACACGGATTTCTAATAGATGCCTAAACATGGATGTCTAATAGACGCCTAAACACTGATGTCTAATAGACGCCTAAACACTGATGTCTAATAGACGCCTAAACACGGATTTCTAATAGATGCCTAAACATGGATGTCTAATAGACGCCTAAACACGGACGCCTAAACACGGACTTCTAATGGACGGCTAAACACGGATGTCTAATAGACGGCTAAACACGGACGTCTAATGGACGGCTAAACACGGACGTCTAACGTACGCCTAAACATGGACTTTTAACGGACGCCTAAACACAGACGTCTAATGGACAGCTAAACACGGACGTCTAATAGACGGCTAAACACGGACGTCTAATGGACGGCTAAACACGGACGTCTAATGGACGGCTAAACACGGACGTCTAACGGACGCCTAAACATGGACGTCTAACAGACGCCTAAACATGGACGTCTAATGGATGCCTAAAGACGGACGTCTAACGGTAGCCTAAACACTAATGTCTAAACACAGACACCTAAACACGGACGTCTAACAGACGTCTAAACACGGACGTTTAAACATGGACATCTAAAACACAGACGTCTAACGAATGCCTAAACAGGGACGTCTAACGGTTGCCAAAACATAGACAACGGACATCTAACGGATGTCTAAACATGAACGTCTAAACACGGACATCTAAACATGGACGTCTAACGGTAGTCTAAACACTTGACATCCGTTAGACGTCCGTGTTTCGGTGTCTGTGTATAGATGTCAAACACAGACGTTTAAACATGGACGTCTAAACACGGACGTCTAAACACGGACGTCTAACGAACGCCTAAACGCAGATAACGGACACCTAAACACGGACTTCTAATTATGAACGTTTAAACACGGACGTCTAAACATGGACGTCTAACGGACACCTAAACACAGACGTCTAAACACGGACGTCTAACGGACGCCTAAACACGAACGTCTAGCGGACGCCTAAACACGAACGTCTAACGAACGCCTAAACACGGACGTCTAACAGATGTCTAAACACAGACGTCTAACGAACGCCTAACCACAGATAACGGACATCTAACGGACACCTAAACACGGACTTCTAATCATGAACGTTTAAACACGGACGTCTAACGGACACCTAAACACAGACGTCTAAACACGGACGTGTAACAGACGCCTAAACACAAACGTCTAACGGACGCCTAAACACAAACGTCTAAACACGGACGTCTAACGGTCGCCTAAACACGAACGTCTAACGGACGTCTAAACACGACAAAATTGCTTACTGTGACAATAACTCAAAAAAAGTCCACAAAGATGATCTGAAGATTATATTTAATAGATTACATTTTCATGAAAATGTATTAATGTATTTTGAGAGACGTCAATATTCAGAATTGTCCAAATTAACCTAGTTAAGCCTTTAAATGACACTTTAAGCTAAATACTGGTATCCTGACACCATAACTATCCATGATATCTAGTCAAATATTATTTACTGTCATCAAGGCAAAAATAAAAGAAATCAGTTCATAGAAATAAGTTACTAAAACTATTTTGTTTATAAATGTGTTGGAAATTTTTTTGCCATTAAACAGAAATTGGAAAAATATAATAAGGGGGGCAAATAATTCAGGAGGGCTAATAATTCTGACTTGTGCTCAGGGCTTTAGCTGTGAATGTGTAAAGGCACAGACCTGAAGTCAGCGGACTGCAGCACCTCAGTGAAGTACATGACTTTGCAGCGGTGTGAGGAGACCTGCAGAGACGCCAGCACATCATCTACACGCGGCCGACTGGAGGACGAGCAGGACGGAGTGCTGTACAGACGCCACTGCAGGATGTAAAAACCAGGCCAGCGCGTCACATGAGAGCCCTAAAGAGACAATGTGGAGAACAGGACACAGTTAGAGGAACAATCCAGACAAAGACCTTTTTAGAAGATCACTAAAAAACATTGTTTAAAGCAGGTTTAACTTTAATATAATGTAGTTTTATTCTTAGGGTCTGACCTGTACGCTCTCTCCCTCTCTGCAGGTGAGGGCTGTCTCCACCATACTGTAGTCCTGGCCGAGCATCCAGGATCGGTCAATGAACTGGACGTTGTTCCCGGCAGGACAGGCCAGGTTGTGTGCGCTCAGTCCCTCTTTTTTAACAGGCTGAGGAGCTCTTCTGGAGTGGTAGATATTGAAGATCATGTCGCCTTTACACACATCGAAGTCCCATGTGATGACGGACGACACGTCTGTAATCTCTATGAGCACCTGAAAACATCAACAGAGGGATTTTTCTTTGGTTAATAGTGCACAACACATCCCTATCTGGACAAAACAGCCACAGTTTTGTTCACCATAAAAAAAGACTACTATGTGAAACTAAAGAGGATGAATAAAATAGAATTAAACTAAACAAACAATGAAATAAAATAAAGCAAAATACAATAATATAAAATGTAGAAATAAAATAAAACAATTAAATATTTAAATAAAACAAAAAAGCAAAACAATAAAATAAACCAATGAAAAAAACAAAGTACAGTAAAACAATGATTTTTTTTAATATGCGTAAAACAACAAAATATAAAAAAATATAACTATAAAAAAGCTAAACAATGATATATTAAAAAACAAAATACAAAAAACATTGCACTATTAAAATAAAAACTAAAAAAATTATAACATTTCGAAATAAGAGATAAATAAAAAGCAAATTAATATAATGAAACAAAAAACTATTAAATATAAAAATAGAACTATTAAAATGATAATTAAAAATAATAAAAACCTCACATTTTATAAATAAAACAAAAATAAAATAATAAATGCAAAACAATAAAACAAAATATAACAATGAAATAATAAAACAAAACAAAATACAATAAAACAATGAACTATTAAAATTAAACAAAACAATTGAATTAAACAAGACAATGAAATTATAAAATTAAATAAAAAAAATTAATAAAGCAAAACAATAAAACAATGAAATAATGAAATTAAACACAATAACAATAAACTATTAAAATAAATTAAACAAAATAAAATCAAACTAATTAAAATAGAAAAGCAATAAAATGAATCAAATAAATATTAACATGAAACCAAATACAACAAAACAATAATTGTATGTTTTACGATAAAACAATCAAATTATAAAAAAGGAAAACAATAGAAAAATAAGACAAAACTATAAAATAAAATAAAAACTTAAAGCAAAAAACTATGAACTATTAAAATAAAATAAAACTAAAATGTATAAAACAATGGAATTAAACAAAACAACAAAATAAAATATCATTTCGAAATAAAGGATAAATAAATAAAAGCAAAGCAATAAAATAAAATAAAACAAAATAAAACTATTAAATGTCAAAATTAAACAAAATACAATGATAAAGAACAGTAAAAAACAATATTAAAATAAAAACAATGTAAAAATAAAAATAAAGCAAAGCAATGACATATTAAAATAAAACAAAGACGATAAAACAATGAATTGTTAAATTAAATTAAACAATTCAATAAAAAAAAAAAATTACAATAAAATAAAATAAAATAGGGGTACAACCTACAAATAAATTTTCCAATTCACACCCATAAACTTAATGGAAGCCAATTATAATGATATTCACTTTTCTAACACAATCATAATGCACTATTAAACTGCACATTTGAACACATTTTCAGAACTTATGCCAACAGCGTTTGAGCTCTACACTGCATGCCATCTCATAACCACCAGATGGCACCAATGATCAACATATACACATCTGAAGTTTGACGTCTAAAGTAAACAGAGTAGAGTATCAGGAACATTCTTGACATTTGAGTACCTCGTGTGGAGCCCCCTTTAACACACTGGCGCTCTTGTAGATGGTTTCATTCCACAGTTTAACCTCCTCGTTTTCCAGCTCCTCAGCTGTACGGTACAGAGATTTGGGGACCAGGCCACCCTCAGGAATATCACACTGAATTCATTCAACAAAAAGACACAGACATATGGGTTAGTGGGATTAAACACTGTTATATTTATGTCTGAATAAATACTGTACAGCTGGGACGTACCAGAAAATAACAATATAATAAACAAATACATGTAAAAATATTAAAAACAGATAAAACATAATAATGCATATAAGAACATAATACACAAATAAATCAATAAATGAATACATAAATACATGTAAAAAAAATAAGAAATAAATAAAAAATAATACATGCAAAAACATTTATAATAATAATAATAATAATAAAATAATAAGAAGAATCAGAATAAAAGCAATAATAATAATAATGCATGTAAAAATAAAAAATACACGTAAAAGTTTAAAAAATATAAATAAAAACATTTTTAAAAAATTATAAAAATAATACAATTTTAAAAAATTGTACTAAACTAATTAATTAAAAAAAAATCAATAAAAGAATTATACTTGTAAAAATAAAACAATAATAAAAAATATTAATGTGTAAAAATATAATACAAAATATTAATACATATTAATAAAATAATACCTGTAAAAAATAAAAAATAATATTTATAAAACAATGCAAAATAAAAAAATATATAATTATGCATGTAAAAAAATGTTAATTACTTAGAAATAGTAATATATGTAAAATGTAATCTAATAAAAATAATAATAATGAAGAAAGAAATATTAATATTAGCACTCGCTGAAAACCACAACATTGTGTTGTGTGAAGTTCAACTTCCCCCGTTTCCCCTCAGTTTGCGTCTCTGCTAAACAAACTGTATTCCCGTACAGAGCGCGGGCACGTGCTCCTTCCATTGTTTTAAAAAACAATGATGACCCTTTGAGCACGCAGCCACACCCTGCACACACATACATTGACTAAAACAGCAATTTGATTTTTTTTTTTTTAACCATCCTTTATTTTATTTTACTATTTTTTGACAACTTGGTCAAGACTCAACACTCTTGATCTTCTACAACACCTCAACAGCACATCAGGTTTGTAACCAGCTCACGAGACCAGCAGCGGATTTTAGGACTCACCATAGAGTCTCCTCCCAAGAAGTCAGGTATGCAGTCTTTGTTTATGTAGTCCACCAGACCTCCAGGCCCCTGGTAGTCGTTCCCGGCATAGATGAGGAACTTCTTCCGTGTGTTTTCATCAATGAATGGACTGACCTGATAGCAGAACAATGAGCAACGCAGATCAGCAGCTGATTTTTCATTAGCACTGCAAACGCGCACACACAAAGGCAAACATGACATTTACAGCTGCCCAGTAATTAACAAAGGTCGGGCCAGTGAGTCCACATTAACATGACATTTCATTCTGATGGGTCAGTCGTGACATTTGCACTCATTAAACAGACTGAATATATTATTATCTTAGGCTTTCCCCATAGATATATACACTAGATATCGCATAGGGACCCTATGCATGCGTCAATAGTGCCGCCATATTGGTACAGTGCTCCCAGGACACGTGTCATTCAACCGCACTAGTCAAGACAGTGTTGCTGCGTAAAGATGCTGGACTTTAGCGTTGTCTACGGGTGAAGTAACGAGCAAACAAAGAAAACAAAGCACGAAGGCAGAACATTTCATAGGTAATATTAAGTTTTTTACGTTTTAGTATGTTCTGAACTTTTGTGCTAAATAGGTAACGTTATTCATGATAATAGTCACTTACTGCATTCACCATAGCTCCAACTCGCACTAAGGCAGCGTCCGAAACCGCCTACTACTCAGTAGGTACTGCATTTGAATTTAAACGTACTACTCGGCCGTTATAAAAGTACGTTCTATACAGTATGAGCGTGAAAAGTATGAATGGAATTCGGACGTACTACATCCGCCATTTTGTCATGGTCACGTGACCTGCCTGCGTCAACTGCGTCGCTTTACTCCCATTCATGAATTCGCTCGCGGGGCATCATGGGATAGCGCAGCATGCATAGGATGCGCACGCTAGAATCTCGCCGGAAGTAGTAAGTCATCCGGGTACTTCTCGCATACTGATTTTCGAATTCTATGAATTCGGACAAACTACTCGGCGCGCATACTGATTTTAGCATACTATATAGTATGGAAGTATGCAGTTTTGGACGCAGCCTAAATACTTGGCTTATGCTAGTTTTGTTGAATAAAATCAGCAAACAATGCAAAAGAAATATGACAACGAGATGCTGCGCTGCCAGAAACTTGTATTATTGTCGGCTAGTGAACGAGTCGTTCATAACAGAGATTCATTCACAAACGAATTGCTCCCTCCGTCAGTATGAGAAGTGAAAGCAGGAGAGGGGGTGCGTTTCTGTACACGGATTAGATCAAATTTAACAGGGAGGGTGGAATAAGGTAGTCATTATTCAAACATTAAATCGTGACATATTTTAGCTAGCTAGGCTCGTTCTTGATAAGTAAACTCCTTAACCAATCATAAGATAATAAAATAACATTTAATTATTAGTACATCCTCATTATGCTATTATAAAGTGTTCACCATCTTTGTACAGAGAGGTCATGTTTTGATTTTCTATTGGTTTCACACACACGTGACGTTAGGTCAGAGTTTACCAAGCTTGAACTATTGAATGCAGCGGTATGCGAAAATTGTGGCGCGGGCTTGTGTTTCCGGTGTCAATGGAGGTCAACTGGGTGAAAAGTGCAATGTGAATAGTAAGGGTGTCACGATCCTCCAAATCCTCGATTCGATTACATTTTCGATTCTAAAGGCACGATTCGATTCGATTTTCGATTATGAATAATTAATTAATTAATGACCAATTAATTATTTGTAGCCTACCGTTTAAACTACCTGACCTGCATGGTCTTTGTTTTACCCATAAACAAATCATACAGTAAATGAATAAAGGCAAGATACACACATAATTACCACCTGTCAATCACTTTTTTTCTGCAGGACTCGTGAATAGGCAGTGATCTGTGTCGTTATAATGGCATCGGTAAAAAAAGACGCACAACCAACAGGAACCAGCCAACAGTATCTGAGGTGTTCGCTAAAATGACTAAGTACAAGTGAGTGAAAGATTGAAGCAGTCCTCTGACTGCCTGGACCTGCTGTCTCGAGCGCATGGCTGTGTGTGCGTCTGTGTCTGTGTGGTCACGTGATGTGCATTTTCAGAGGTAGAGAGGAAGGAGGGCTGCTCAGAAATGCTAAACGCCACTGTGGATGTCAAACCGTTGTCGTTCTAAAATGCCATTTAAAAACACAGACAGTGTAAACAGGGCCTGAGTGTGAACTTTTCGTGAGCGGATTTGCCGGTGTTGTCTATCGGACGAACCGTACGTAATGCGTACATAGCAGAGCTATTTTTGTCGACAACACGAACGTTGTCAACAAAACTCACTGGAAATCCAAAATGCTTCCACACCGGCGACTTCATTGAAAGAGGAGAGGGTTTAAGTTCTGTCGACAGGTCTCCTGCATCTGCAGTTTAACAAGCACTTCAACAAGCCTGTTTTTTTCCCGCTTGGCAAGCCAAGCTGACGTGACATGGGGGCGTGGCAGCATCGACGATTCTATTTTTTGATTCGATAATCGAAATTGAGCATAAACACCCCTAGTGAATAGTTTGTATGCGTGTTTGTTTACCAGAGTCCAGAGCACAGGAAACACTCTCGGCGCTCTTAGTATGAGAAGGCGGCCGAGGGTTTCTGGGTAGTTGGCTCCAACAACCTCAATCATCCTCAGCAAGGCTTTGATTCCAGGTCTCCACAGATGCCTCATGTTTAACCCCTCGAGATCCACCAGACATGTCCAACAGCTACAGTACAAGATCAGTTATTAGTGATAAGAGTGGAGAACGTATGAAAAACAACCAAGACATATGGCCAAAAGTAGGAGATATTACACTTCTTTACACTGTTCGTTTGAGAGTTGAGCTTAAAATGTATCTTTCTGTTTAACTCCGTGAGCTACTGACATTGTGTGAGCCTACCTGATCCCTTCAATCAGGGTCTCCCATGCATCCCAAAATCAAGACTTAAATGCAGGGGAAATCATGCTTTCTGCGTGAAGACAAACACCCTCCCTCACCTGCTGTAAGACTCGAGACTTACAGTGGCGAAATAAGTATTGAACACATCATGTCTTTTTCTAGGGAACACTACTTCTAAAGAAGCTATTGACATTGAATTGAACCAGATTTTAGTAAAAACCCAATCGATACAAACATAAAAATAAAACTAAACTAAAAAAATTGTTACGTGTAATAACTGAAATGACAGAAGGAGAAAGTACTGAACTACTGAAACGTATTTAACACTTTATATAAAAGGCTTTTTTTTGGGGCTGGCAGCTCAAAGGCGCCGCTCATATGGAGTTTAAAGTCACATGAATTCACAGACTTCAACAGAGAGTAAAAATCTTGATGGTTCTGTGGGTCTCATCTATCAAATCCGATCTTAATTTTGTATGCTCTATTGCAGTGGTTCTCAAACTGGGCTTCCTTCTAGTGGTACACGGAGGAATGAAATATGTCATGTATATGCTACATATAATTCAAAATTTATTAAAAATGATGTATATAATATGCCATATATTATATATAGGCTATATTTCTGAGGTAATCTGCCAGGTTTTTGAACTGTGCAGAGTTGTAGCTGCTTTACTGGGCCTACTACGCTACTGTATGTCAATGCTGCTCATTTTGGTAATACTTGGAGAGACTATTTTTTTCTAAGGTGGTACTTGATGAAAAAAGTTTGAGAACCACTGTTCTATTGAATTCAGGCCAGGTGATGGGCTGGGCCATTCTACAGCTTTAGTTTCTTTCATTGAAAGCACTTGAGAGTTTCCTTGGCTGTGTTTTGGATCATTCTCTTGCTGAAATGTCCACCCTGGTTTCATCTTCATTCTGCTAATGTAGATGTTGCACCAAAGCAGCTGATATTCATTTAAACTGAGTAAGGGCAGAGGGTTGCTGAAGAACTACTGAGAGATTTCAGCTGCTGTCTGGGCTTTCACTGCCTTTCAACACCTCCCTTTCTTCATGTGTTCAATACTTTTTTCCCCAGCATCATTTCATTTGATTACACTTAACTTCATTTGTAAACTAATTAGTCTTGTTTTCTTTGCATATATGAATATTTTTGGCTGTCATCAAAATCTGGTGAAAATTTCAAGTCAACAGCACTTTTAGAAATATGATTTCTGAGAAAAATGGTGATGTGTTCAATACTTATTTCCCACAACTGCATTTATTTTTAAAGGTATTTGGCTGTTAGGAGGTATGCTCATTATTTTTAGTCTGTTTGTGGATGTCCGTTTGCTTCTGTTGTCATTGCCATTGAGAAGGAGCTAGTCTTATTAATATCCAGTTCTATTTTTAAAACAATAACTTTAACGATTTTCAGTAATGTTATTTGTTTCCTCGGTGGAGTTGGATTCCCCATATAATACATGATCTGTCTGATGAATGAATATGTTCTATACCTGATTGGTTTTCCAAATATTTTAGTGTTCTCTTCACAGCGCCTCAGACCTTCCTCGTTGATGGACAGAACCTAAAGATTGGGTCAAAGGTGAAGGAGGTCAGTATTTAGCAATTTTATCTAACTAAGGTCATTAAAAAAATTGACCACCCAAATTATGATATTCCTGGTAGTCTATAACAGAATGTGCGTCCCAAAACAATATCCATTCTTGTCTTAGGACATCTTTGATTAACTTGTTTGATCTATTTCAAATGTCGACTACTAGATACCAGTAGCACTTGTAGTTCTAGCTAAAACTTATCCACATGATTGTGTAATTATTAAATGGTGTTGCCTTTAGTTTTCTCATTGTATTATTAACATATTGCATGTTGACCGTTTTGCAGCTCCTTGTTTACTATACAACTACTCAAAATTGAACAAGACCAAACTCTTTACTACAATACGAGTAATTTCCAACCACAGTAAATGTAGTGGCGCACCTCTCATGCAAATCCTTATGTACCACCTTTGCAGCTTCAATTCCAACAACCAGTATTTGCAAAAACGCGAGTAAGACCGAATCTTCTTTTAAAAAATGTTTACTGAACAAATGCAAACAAAAATACAAAGTTACAATAGACTCGATCAGCTCGGTCAAAAAACTGTGCTGCTTCCAACATCCATAACTGCAATCTGACTTAAACGTATGAACTAATGACCTCAGGACGTATTACTGTTAGAAGCCAAAACACCAAAGTAACTGTTTTTAAATTTTATTAATTATTAAATTATGCATTTTAGATAATACAATCACAATGAATTTCTATTATATTTAAATATCAATTTTTATCATGTTTTAACCTTAACTAAAATATTATCACAAATGAATTATGCATAACTGGCTCTTACAGTAAAGAACAATATAGTACTTCAGTCTGAATTCAGAGAAGTTAGTAAATAAAATTTAAGTAGTGCCACCCCGGACCATTTATTACCTCTTTAGCTGCTTGTTAATGTAAATCAGCCAAATAGATGGCAGCAATTTTATAAAGATGAGGTAAAGATGATCTGCTGAATTTCAAACTGAAGGCATTTAAGCCCAAATCAAGAGAGTATTTCTCACATATTTGCTTAAACAACTTATTAAATTTCCTTGCATCTGAATACTTAACCACATTATCTTTACACGGTGCTTCAGCATCAACGCTTGACAAAGGGCGTGTCTGAAGTTGGGGCTGACGCGATCGTCATAGCTGTGTCAGCCAATGAAATTAGTCAGCAATAGGCCACTGTCTGAGCTGGTGGATTTGCATTCAGCGATCTGATTGGCTGACGCTTCCGTCGGAGCTTGAAAAGTTGAGCTAGTCCCAACTTCTGCAGCGAGCAACGTCTCTGAAGCGGCACAGACGGATCTACAATGCAGTTCGGCAATGCCTGACGTCACCCATTCGAAGTGAATGGGAAGCGTTGATGCTGACGCCCCGTGTAAATGGGGCGTAATACTTATAATAATACTTATAATATCATATCTTTACTGATACCCAAGAAATGTTTGCTCAATAAAAACGCACATCACCCAGTCATAATATTTGCTTTAAATTGCTATAACAAAGAGATAATTTTACTTTGTATGTATATACACACACATA